CAAAATCTTGGCGGAATTAGCTGGACTGCATCAAACGAAAACAAATGTAAGTATGTTTTTTTTGCTAAAACTTATTACAAAAATTTTCCTTTGCAGCAATTACTATTCAAAGTCGTGTGCCAGGATCCATTTACTCGGATTTAGAAGGAAATGGCAAAATTGGTCCCATCTACAAAAACTTTAATGACGTCTTAAGTCGTTGGGTGGCATACGACAATTGGACTTTTGAGCGTCACTTTGATGGTAAATTTAAAATCTATTTAGTTTTTGCCGTTTATACCAATGTAAAAAACTTGTCAACAGTTAATGCCAACGTTTTAACAAAACAACACATCTTCCTGACTGCCCATGGATTGGATACTATTGCAACGGTAACTCTGAATGATCAGAAGATCATCAGTGCCGCCAATATGTTTGTTCGCTACACGACGCCAGTGAAGAGCATTTTGAAGGCAAAGCACAACACCCTGAAGGTACACTTCGTGTCTGCGCCACTGTACGCAAAGAGGCGTTTCGAGGAGGTGCAGAAGGAGAAGTACCTCATTCCGCCCACTTGTGTTCCGGGCGTGGAGAAGGGCGAGTGTCACGTGAATATGCTGAGAAAGATGCAGGCCTCCTTTGCCTGGGACTGGGGCCCGGCCATTCCCACCGCCGGCATCTGGCAGCCGCTGCTCATTGAGGCGTACGACAGTCTGCTGCTGAGAGACGTCACCGTTGAGACGGTGCCAGAGGCACTGGCAGGAGCTGATAACAACTCCTGGGAGCTCAAGTACACGCTCTTTGCAGAGATCATACCGGGAACTGTCTCCAAGGGAACACTGGAGGTACTCCTCGACGGACACCTTCTGAGCAATAGCAGCTACCAATTTGAGTCACTGAAGGGTGAGGCGAAAAAGGCCTTCTCCGCCAAAATACCGTCCAGCTTTAACATCCAGCGCTGGTGGCCGAACGGTCTTGGCCAGCAGAAGCTGTACAACCTGACCATTCGAATCACCCCTGAACACCAGGAGGCGCAGAGTAAAACGCTGAACATTGGCTTCCGGACTGTTGAGCTAGTCCAAGAGCGCCTGCACTCAAAGACTGAGGCGTACTCCTTTTACTTTAAGGTAAACGGCGTGCCCTTTTTTGCCAAGGGCTCCAACTGGATACCTGCTCATGCGCTAAGCGAGGCCATCACCGAGGGCTACTTGCGAACACTGTTGCACTCCGCCAAGCTNCTCATGCGCTAAATGAGGCCATCACCGAGGGCTACTTGCGAACACTGTTGCACTCCGCCAAGCTAGCCAACATAAACATGCTGCGCATTTGGGGAGGTGGAAAGTACGAAGATGACGCTCTCTACCAGATCGCCGACGAGTATGGCATCTTTCTCTGGCACGACATGATGTTCGCCTGTGCACTCTACGAAACCGATAAAGCCTTCCTCGAGTCAGTGGCGGTGGAGGTGACGCAGCAGATTCGCCGTCTTCAGCACCACCCTTCCATTGCCATCTGGGCAGGTAGGTGACCGTAATGGTAATGGTGGTGGTTTTAAAGTAACAAAACTTGCGATTTTTATTATTTCACAATGTAGGCAACAACGAAAACGAGGTCGCCATCGCTACTGGCTGGTGGAAGAAGGAGATGAAGGAGGCGGACCTGCCTCGGTACAAGGACGACTACCGAGCGCTGTACATCAACACCATCATGCCGATTGTGGCGCGAGAGGACACCAGCCGCCCTTTTGTCGCCAGCAGCCCCTCAAACGGGCTCCTCAGCGCCCGGGAAAATTACATTGGCGCCGACCCAAACAGCGCCCTCTACGGCGACGTGCACTTCTACACGACGAGGCGGTTTTGGGAGTGGAGCAACTACCCGAGCGCCAAGTTTGTCTCCGAGTACGGCTTCCAGTCGTGGGCGTCGCTGCACACCATGGCGCACTCCCTGGAGCCGGCTGACCTCCGTTATCCGCTGGACCGGGCCTGGCTGCACCGGGAGCACTCTGAGCCGTGGTTCAACCTAGCTGAGTGGATTGGCCAGTACCTGCCGGTGCCCTCGGCGGGAGGGGCCGCCAAGCTGGCGGACTACATCTACGTGTCGCAGATCTTCCAGGCGATGTCCATCAGGACGGAGACGGAGTTCTACCGACGAAATCGGGCGGTAAAGGAAAACGGCGAGGGCGGCACCATGGGCTGTCTGTACTGGCAGCTGCAAGACATCTGGCCCACTGTGTCCTGGGCCAGCCTTGAGTTTGGCGGTCGGTGGAAAATGCTGCACTACTACGTTAGACAGATGTTTGCCAGCACTCTGCTCACCGCCTGGGAGGAGGATGGCCACTTCAGGGTGGCCGTTGTTCGAGATGATCACCGAAAGGAGGAGTTGTTTCAGCTGCAAATTGACCTGTTTGAGTGGTCATCGCTGAAGGCTATTCACTCCAAAAAGATGGACGTCAAAACGAAGCCCTTCAATGTGACGCTGGTTTTTGAGGAGAAGGCTGATGCTTTTCTGAAAAGCGCCGGTTGCACTGATCGAAAGAAGTGTCTGGTCACTGTTCGACTGGCCGACCAAAGTGGTCACTTGATCGCTTCTAACTTTCACCTCCTTGACTGGCCGAAAAACGCTGTCGGTTTGAAGAAAGCAAAAATTTCAGTTAGTTCAGTGAAAGGTCCAGTTACTGATGAAGAGGGCAACTACATCTTTTCGATCACTTTGACAACTGACGCTATTGCGCTTTTTGTTTGGATTGACTTTGTCGACACTTTTCACTATGATGGTGTTTTCTCTAACAATGGTTTCTTTTTCATTGAACCTACAGTCAACGTTAATTTCACCACCAGGTACAATACAGTTACGGTTGAAAGCGTTCGCAAGTCACTTTTAGTGAAGTCAATAGCAGACGTCAACTAAAAACAAATTGTTTCGTTGAATGTACCAACTAACATCGTTTATGTTTTGATCATTACAATTTTGGACAACTCTATTTTGCAAATAAATAAAAACATTGTTAATTTTGTTAGTTTTACTATTGTAAACGGTTTGTAGTGTTATTTCCGAAAAGTGTTTGCGACAGGTAGGCCGTTAGTGTTTTTGTGTTTTTGGGTTACTTACTAAAAAAATTTTTTTTGGGTAAGAAGATTCAGTTTTTCTGCGATCAGGTCACTTTGGTTCTTCAAATCAGTGTTTACAACAGTCGGGTTATCCGCCTGAAGTGATCACTGTCAGACGGCTTAGGTCGATACGGCCGCCCGTGTTGACAAACGGCCTTAGTGTGCAAGTTAGTAAACAGTTGCCGCTTGACAGTTATAACACAAATATATTCAATTTTGTATTTGATACATCAAACTTTGACCTGTTTTTTAAATTTTATTGACAAGCATTTAGTCACTATGAAAACACTTCTTTGTCGTTTGCATTTATTTTCAGGTAATAATATTGATGCATTTTTTTGAACAACAACTAACATCAATCATCACAACAGATCATAAGAGTTTGTATATCGCGTGATTGAACTAGTACTCATAGCTGAAGCTTTACGCAACACTGTGTCACTTATGCTATCATTTGTTGTCATTGAAAAGTGCTCAAATCGTACATGTACGACCATCAAACGGCAAGCTACAATACTGCAGTGTTCCAAAGTACGCTGCAGTAGATAGCCGCCTTTACGATGTGCAGAGAACGAGAGAATGAGCGATGTTTACCCTCACCCTCGTTTCCTTTGCTAATGTCAATTTCCCGATAAACAGGTTATTTTCAGACAATTATCGCAAATGGCTAATTTGGTACATTTTGCAACAAACAGTATATAAATTGTTGTGGCAAACACGCTTGGCTATTCACAAGTACCTGCAAATTACTTCTTACAAAGCGCATAAACAACAGAAAAAGCATCAAAATGATCAGTTTCACACTCGTTTTGACTTCCACCCTTGCTGTTATTTTCTTGTGGTTTTACCTGTAAGTAGTAGAACTATGATCAAAACAATAGAATCATTAAATATTTTTTTTCTTTAGAAAAATAAAAAAAATTTACCGCACCTGGTCAGATTTAGGTATCCCCGGACCAAAGCCACGGTTTCTGATTGGCAACGGCCTGGACATCATCCGGAACAGTCGAGCCGAAATTGACAGCAAATGGGCACGTCAGTACGGTAGCATCTACGGCTACTACATGGGCGTCTTTCCAAATCTGGTCATTACCGATCCGGAGCTGGTGAAGCAGGTCTTTGTGAAAGATTTTCCCCACTTTGTAAATAGACTCCGCCTGAACGCCTACCACGAACTGTGGAACACCAACCTGCTGCTGGCTGAGGATGAGGACTGGAAGAGAATACGGTACTGTTGCTTTTAGTAGTGAAAAAGTACCTTTTAATCATTATTTTTAACACACAACACAGAACTATTGTCACGCCGGCATTCACCTCCGGCAAGCTGAAGTCAATGCAAGGTCTGATGAGCCAGTGCATTGAAAAGCTGTCGACGTACCTGAACAAGGTGGCGGCGAAAGAGGGCGGCGGCATCATCACCGACACGAAGCAGGTCTTCAGCGGCTTCGCCATCGACATCATCGCCTCGACCTCTTTTGGAACTGAGACCAACGCCAACGGCGACCGCGAGACGGAGGATCCGCTGGTGCACAACGGGCGAGAGCTTTTCAAAGTTCGACCGCTGCAAACCTTTACGGCGCTCGCCCTGCCCCGGTGGTTTAACAACCTGGTGGGCAATAAGACGCTCTTCAGGTTGGCGCCCTTTGAGTTTTTCATCTCGCTGATGCGCGAGATAGTGAAGCAGCGCAAAGGCCACCAGAAAACGAAAACGAGACCCGATCTGGTGCAGCTGATGATCGACGCGGCCGTCGACGAGCAGGCGATGAAGGAGGTGAAGTTTGAGCAGCTGGCGGCCTCCAATGAAGAGGGCGAGGAGACCGTTTTTTCGAGCAGCGGAAAACAGAAGTCGACGCTAAGCGACAATGAGATCATCGCCAGCAGCATTCTCTTCTTCAATGCCGGCTTCGAGACGACCAGCGGCACCATTGTCCACTGCTGCTTCGAAATGGCGAAGAACCCCGAGGTGCAGGAGCGACTCTACCAGAAGATTGTCGCTGCCACCGAGGGCCTGGAGCCTCGGTCTGAGGAGTTCTTTGACGTGGTCGTCAACCGCCTGCCGTACCTCGAAGCGACTATCATGGAGACGCTTCGCCTGTACCCGCCCATTGCCATTCTCCTTCGACGACTTAAAACCGACGGCTACGTTCTCGCCGGCCACCGACTGCCATTTGACACGACGGTTGAGGTGGCCACCTACTACATTCACCACAATGAGGCCTACTATCCGGTAGGAGTTCTATTTCATGGCTTGCGTTCATTTTTTGTTTTAACAATTTTTTTCACTTTAGGACCCAGAGTCGTTTCAACCGGAGCGATTTCTGCCCGAGAACAAACACAAACTGGTTCCGTACACCTTTTTGCCTTTCGGAAGTGGTCCACGCAACTGGTAATCGCAACTGCTAAATTGAGATAAACTTTTAAATGTACTGAGACTTACCGAATTTTATTTTCAGTGTTGGAATGCGATTTGCCCTGCAGGAAATCAAATTGTGCTTTGCGACTATTCTGAAACAGTTCCGATTTGAGCGTGCTCCCGGCACTCCTGATGCAATTGAGTTTGGCAAAGGAGCGCCGCTTTTGCTCTCAAAAACGTTTCCTCTAAAAATTGTTAAACGACAATAGTTGTTGTTGAAGTTTTTAAAAAACAAAAGTTGTAAACTATTTCTTGATACTCAGACTCAAACAGACAATAAATGTTGTTTTCTTTAAAAAATTAGCTGCGCAACTGCGTCGGTCAAGAAATTAAACTGTGTTTTGCCAGATTGATAAAGCATTTTTGATTTGAAAAAGCTTTTGGAACGCCTGATATGCTCACATTTAGAAAGGGGTGTAGCGGATGAGCTATCAAAGTTTATTGTGAAGATGAAGAGAGACTGGTGAAGAAGAGAAAGTGGATGAAATGGTGAACAGAGTGACAGTGTCTGGTAAGTGTTGAAAACAAACTGTTGTGGTGTGTGAACTTACGGCAGGCTTATGTACTGTTGTGTGATAGGTGACAAAGGTAAACTGTGAAGGGAGACAAGAGAGTGAACCCTGATGTGATGTGTGTAACAAGCATTGAGTGTGACAAGCAGAGAGTGAACATGTGCGTCAGGTCAACGTTGGCTGAGCGTGCGTGTCAGTTGTGGCTGGCGCCACAGGGGCCTGTTAAAATTGTAAAACCTGTTTCAATTAAAATTGTACAACTGAAAAATTTGTGACTAAAATGTAAAAAGTCAAGTTACANTCCTTTAACATATTATATACCGTTAGAAAGCTAATTTTTTGCTGATTATAATTCTTAAATAGATATCTTGAGGTGAAAAACCGTTTGGAAGATTCTTACACGAGTAAGTTTTAAACACTATTGTTTTTGACTCATACACTGTCATAAAAAAACAAAGTTGCAAAGTTCGAAATTATTAAAAATAGCAAAATTGTCAAACTCAAGCTGTTTCTATAGGGAACTTTATTGAGTGTCGTGCAAAAAGTACTTATCACCTCAAGATATCTATTTAAGATTTTTCATCAGCAAAAAATTTGCTTTCCAACGGTATATAACATGTTAAAGGATTCAACTGCTCAATTTAGACCCAAAAATGACTTATTTTGGGCATTGCTCTTTGTGACTAAAATGTAAAAAGTCAAGTTACATATTTTTAAACCAGAACAAAGCAAAACTCAATGTCCAATAGTACCTAATGATTTTCCAATAAATTATCTATGTAAACTCAAAGTTAAAAATTTAAATAAATGATAAACACAATACCACAGTTTATCAAAATTTTTACTTTTTAACAAAAAAATAACTGGCAACTACCAAATATTGTTTTAACACCCTAAAAACAATTTTTGTTTTATCTAATTTAAAACGATATTGATTTAATGTTTTATTAGAATTATAATTAAATTTAAAACACCTTTTTAAAACAGTCTATTTAGTTTTTTTTATAAAAGCACAAATGTTGTTACAGTACGTTTTTAAGCTGCATTAAAATACACAAAATAGTTATTATTTTAATTTATGCAAAAAATGTAAACAAAATTATTAATGTTAAACATAAAAAATGAATTTTAGCTCTCCTACAAAAAAGTATGTTTTTTCAACAACTTGGCGTTGGGCTTCATTTGATTCTTTTGAACAAAAAAACCTGTCTGATTCAGAATTTATAATTTCAAACAATTTTTCTCCGTTTGCTGGTCAGCTGATAGACGCTTATTTAATGGTTGCATTGAACTACAAAAAAATTGAAAATAAAACAAATATTAGCCAAAAAAACAGACATTTTCTTGAAAATGTTAGTTTTTATCTTTTACTTAAAACTTATTTTGACGACCCAATTAAAATTTCTTATGAAATAGAACCGTATCAAAATAGTCAAAACAATAAAAAAATTGAAATTTTGTTACAAAAATTAGTGATAAGTAATTAAATTTTTTTATTATTTTATTTTAATTCCTTTTTTAGAAAAAAAGAACATTTGGCTAATAAATTATGGGCGTTTTGGCAAGACATTAAAAAAAACTTTTTTCAAACAATACTTTGAAAATTTTCATTTTGGTCTTGGAGCTTTACTGCAAAATCACTGTCAAACTGCCATTAAAATTAATTTCCCCTCAATATGTTGCCTCAACTATAAATTTAATACCATTTAAAATTAAAGCTAGAACAGATGAATTTAATCATACTTGGACTCTTGAAAACTATCAACAATGGTTTAAAAAAGAACAACAAGAGTTTGTTGTTGTTTCTGACATTTTTTATTCTTCAAAACTAAATGCAACAACTGACAAAAAAATTGAACTTGTTATGGCGTTAATATGTCAACTTGTTGATGACACAAATGTAAATAAACGTCAAACAATTGAAAAAAGTTCTAAAAACAAAGTTGATTTTATTGATGAACAGAAAAAGCAAAAATTTACATTATACTTGTATCCTTTAATGTTAGATGACACTGAAGTTCAGTTTGTTTTGCAAATTTTTTGCAAAAACAAATATGGACTCTGGAAAACAGGTAAAAAATTAAATTTTTAGCAATAATTAATATACAATTTTTAAACTTTAGTTTTAAAAGAGATTGGAGGGAAAGAAGCAATGTTAAAAAACATTAATGTAATCAATAACAATGTACTTGCTGATTTGTTCAAAAAACATAAAACAATTAAGTTTAAAATTGAAGGGCATGTAATACAAGAATTCCTGCCTAAACTAAATCTTCATCATGATACTAAAACATTTAACAATGGCTGGAAAAATGTGCTCAGCTTTGACATTTTCCAATATAAAAATCATTTTGCAAAAATGTGGGTTATAGATAATAGCACAAGTTTGTTTAAACAATCTATAACTGGGCAACCTTTTATATCACTTGATCCAGTTTTAATACGGTATAATAGACAAACTTTTGAATATACTTTAGGGTTTTATCCCAATGGTCAATCAAGCAAAAATGTTGTTTCATTTGTTCTTTTTGGTCCTAAAAAAATACCAATTAATTTTGCAATTCACATTAAATTTTTTCTTTTGGATTTAAAAGGAAATCGTCAAAATGTAAAATGTAAGTTTTTTAAATTTTTTT